GTACCCCCCCCCCCCCCCCCCCCTAAAAAAAAAAAAAAAAACTCTCTGTCTCCCTCTCTCTTTATTCGGTTTTCCTTTTGTCTTTAAACCTTTATCCTTGAATTTAGACAGAGATTTTGAAGCGGGAAGCAACTCCTGCCATGAGACTACTGAATGATCTTCTGAATATGCATGACGGTGGACTCGATAATGAAGGATGGCTCAAAGCATGTAAAAAACGTTTGGTTGATACATTTCCGCGAGAGGACCCATTTAGTATTCTTGTACCTGCAGGTTTCGACATTGAAAAGGTATATCTATACTCTTTCAAATGGCTTTTCTTATTTGAAATAAACTGTTTATCTTCCTACCATTAGCCCGTGAGATCCATAAAGCCGATTTCACTTATGTGATATTTATTCACTTTTCTATATGTGGGCATGCACGCGTTAATTTCGTCACTTCAAGACGTATGACATTGCTTTTCTTTCACTCTCTGCATTTCTTGTTAGCATCAAGGTCCTCTAAGACCAGCTTTGGAAGCTGATGATGTGCTTTTGAGGGTAGATTTTGTCAGAGAGGTGGATGCACTGTTAAAGGAGGTTCGATCTGAACAGACTGAAGCATTAGAAACACAAGGACTTGATCCAGAATCAGTGGCAAGTAGATTGAAACAACAGGAGAAGCAACGTGCAATACACCAAGTAGAAGCTCTTTTGGATCTGGCCATCAACTTGGAGTGGTAGTCAAGTAGCTGCCTCTTCCCAAATGAGAAAGTTCACTGAGTAGAAATTTCATAACAGAAGAAAAGTCACAGAGGTTCTTCAATAGTATTCCTGGTTCACAAGGTTCTACCAGTGCAGTCAGTATATGGAATGTCCAACTCCAACTATCATTAACAGCAAAGACGACTCAAACCTGCTTAAAAGTTAGGGTCCAAACTGCAAGACAATGCAATGTGTTTATTATCATCTGTTAGCAATTAGCGACATCATTTTAGGTATTTTTGCCATGTCTTCTTCCTTGGTGCCCCAGGGAACAACCGTGTGATTCTGCCCAGTGTCTATATTTGATAGCTGGAAGCATAGTATTTGAAGCTGTATTTATTAACCAAGTGGGCATTTGATGTAGTACCAAACTGTCCTGATTCAGTCAGTGGGGAGACATGTTACTCTCTGAATCAGAAAAGATTTAAGACGATCTGGGCTCAATGTTAGTTTGTTGTATTTATATATGTGAGATTCTTTTTCTAGGAAATACTGCTCAAACTGTTATATATTCTGAATTAAGAGGAGAAGCCCGTCATACAGAAAATCACGTCAAAAAAACTTGCAATGACTAAGTTTCAATGGCATTGCTCTGTACATGCTTAACATATGAAATCGAGGTACTTCCAGCTGCAAAAGAAAATTTTAGATACAAGTAGTCTCAGTAATGCCTCTTATTCAAGGGAAAACTACCCTATATACCTACCTAATCAAAAGTAATTACCCCTAATTACCCATTTTAAAAGTAATTACATCAAATACTTATTCTATTACAACTAATTACCCGCCCATTCAATTTTCGCTTGCGATGGACATATCTAATTTAAGCAGCAAAAGTGTGAATCCTAAAAAGAAGCCAAAGAATAGTTAGCTTTTTTCAACAGTGGGCAGTGTTGTTAGTATTGTACCTTTTTCTGCTATCATCACCTTTTTTTTTTAATTTGTGCTCCATAATTTATTTTATCTTCTAAAAGTAAAACAAAAAGTAATATGTACTATATAACTAAAATTTGAATTTTCATGTGTGTTGAAGTGTTTGTTGTTGGAATTTATTGGGTATTGTTCTTTGATTATGATATTAATGCTAATTTTCAAATATTTTATTGTACAAAAATTCAAATCCACCATTGAAGGAGCTTGAAGCTTGAAACTCATAGCTTGGTTTGTTTGAGTTTTTAATTGTTTTGATCCGATCCTATATGGGTTTGTTTGGAAAGTTGATTGGAGGTTGTAGCTAAAGTTTTAGTCAATTTGGTGAAGATTTTGTAGTAGATTTTAGAAGTTTGAGTTGAAATATAGTCGAACAAGAGAAGAAGACGAATTTGTATTGTCTATTCAAATAGTATACAAATATACCATTTTGGTATACAATTCATTCCAACTATATACCCTATTAGTATAACTATATACTATATTGGTAACATATGCTAGTTGAATTATTTTTTGGTTGTATTAGCTGCATTTATTAGTACAATATTTGATTTTCTTTTAATAATAGTAATATAGTACAATATCTTGAAATACTTTATTATATTAATATGTGGTACACTATTTTTTTTATTTTTCTCTTTATGCATGTGTGTTATGTAATAGTAGTATAGTCATATAGTTGCGGGAAATTAACCAGTAAAACTGTATACCATGTTGGTATAGTTATATACCATATTGGTATCATATGGTAGTTTGAACATTTTTTTTGGTTGTCTTGGCTGCATTTTTAAGTGAATTCTATTCTGAAATTATTTATATGAACGTGATTTGCAGTGCTGGGATTTTTTTGTGCTGATGGATATAGATTATGCAATAGTTTTTATAGTTATAGGCAATTGTTGGAACGACCCATACAACTATATACCCTGTTCGTATATGGAATGAGCAAGTTGTTTTGCGAATATTTAGCTTGCAATGCGAGCATGTAATTTTCTCATACTTTTATTGTATCCTTTAATATTTTGGTACAGTAGTATAGTCACAGATAGTTGTAGCAATATTCTAGAGCAATCATATACTCAGTTGGTATACATGTATACCATATTGGTATCATATGGTACTAGAAGTCTTTTTTGCTACTTACATTTTTATTGCATTTTTCAATATTTTATTATCATTTCTATTCTAACTTAGTATATATGGAGATTTAGTGGCTGTAGATTATGTTTTCTTGCTCCATCACTGGTTGGTGTTACTGCTAATGGTAGAGTATGTACTGATATTTGTAGGGAAGGAGATCAAGGTTTGCATGGCAATCACGTGAAATTAGAAAAGGAACAAGAAATAAAGAAAAAATAAAAATAAAAAAAGTAAAGAAGGAGTCAAATTTGAGTGTGAAATAAATTATGGTAAAAATAACAATAATACGATTTAGGCAAAAATAAATGAATAAAAGAGAAAAAAGAAAAAAATAGGAAGAAAATGAGAAAAAAGAAAAGGAGAAAAGAAAGAAAAAAAGGAAAAAAAGAAAAGAATCATAGAAATAAAAAAGAATTGGAGAATAAAGAAAAAAATTCCCCACAAAAATTACTATGGGTAGGAAATGTAATTAATTTATGGGTAGAAAAACAAATGGGTAGACAAGGGTAAATAGTTTTATTTTTGTGGGTAACTGTGTCAAACCCCCTTTATTCAAATACTAGTGGTTGTAGGCACACAATAAGGTTAAACTTTTCTTAAACATATTGAGTAGTACTGTGTTAATCTAGGGCGATTTGCGGCCATATCCTATATTTATGCCACCTTTTAACCTGTACCCTATTTTTAAAAACTATTGATTTGGTAGCCAGCTGACAAAAAATCTGTACTAATATGACTAATATACCCCTGACAAAATATATAAAAGATGCATCACGCATAAATCACTTTACGGTTCTCCTCCATCACTCCGTCTCTCCTCAGATCTCCTCGCAAACCAGAAATTTGAACCAGATTCAAATTCCAAATTCAAAATTACAAAATACATTGTAAATATTCCAATTCATCTTCAGAATTCAAATTAGTTTTTGAAATTGATTGATCTTCATGATATATGTTTCTATAATTATTTTCGTAATTCACACTTGCATTAAGTTGTCACGGATGAAACATGAACTTTTCACTGATAGATTTCACTGACGAATGAATTTGCATTCTAAATTTGTTTCACGTTGAATTCTAAAGTGAAGCAAAAGATTCTTCACGTTAAACCTAATTTAACATCAAAGCTAAAAATTCAAATATGCTGAAGTTTTGTACTGCATAACATGCTGAAGTTTTTGGTTTATTTGCTAAACAAGCTGAGTATTTACATAATTTGCTTAAACTTGACACCAAAAATGCTGAAGTATTTGTCTTGCAGTCTAAACAAGCTGAAGTTTTTTTAGTTCATTTGCTAAGACTTTAACACTAAAATATGCTGAAGTTATGTCCTGCGTTCAATAGTTTTGTCATGAGCTTTTTCTGAAAACTTCAGCATAAGATGCTGAAGTTGTTTAGTTCATTTTTAAAAACTTCAGGAAAAACGAGCTGAAGTTTTCCTCCTCCACTATGTAATTTTCCAGTGAATTTTATTTAATGCATGCTGAAATTAAATTTAGTTCATTCGCTGAAGTTTTGTCCTGCATTAAACAACTTTTTTCATGAGCTTTTGTTCGAAAACTTCAGTATAAACAAGCTTTTTTCCTGCTCAATAGTTTTGTCATGAGCTTTTTCCAAAAACTTCAGCATAAGATGCTGAAGTTGTTTAGTTCATTTTAACAACTTCAGGACAAAATTTAGTTCATTTGCTGCTGAAGTTAAATTTAGTTCATTTGCTGAAAGTTCATACCAAAACGTGCTTAAGTTTTGTTCTCAATTATACTGTAACGACCCGACCGGTCGTTTTGAGCTCTAGCACGTCGTTCGGCAGTTTGAGGCCATGAGCAGCTTCATATCAGGTATTATTACTTGTACGCATGGTCGGAATTGAATTCCAGAAAGTTCGGAGTTGATTTGGAGAAAAATTCTCTTTTCGAAAGCTTTAAGTTGGAGGAATTTACAAGGATTGCATTTTTGAGTAAATGACCTCAGAATCGGGATTTGAAGGTTCCAGCAGGTTCGTATGATGATTTTGGACTTGGGCGTATGTCCGGATCGGGTTTTGGATGACCCGGGAGTGTTTCAGCGCCTGTTGTGGAAGTTAACATTTTGAAAGAATTCTATAAATTTGAATTGAAGTGCATTTCAGTGTTACCGATATCCATTTGGGATTCCGAGTTTGGGAATAGCTCCATATGGTGATTCTGGTGTTGGGAGCGCGATCGGAAGTAGATTTGGAGGTTCGTAGGTCATTTTGGAGTCATTTGGCGAAAGTTAGAAATTGAAGGTTTTTTGAGAAGTTTGACCGGAAGTGGACTTTTTGATATCGGGGTCGGATTCCAATTCCAGAAGTTGGTGTAGGTCCGTAATGTCGAATATGACTTGTGTGCAAATTTGAGGTCAATCGGACGTGATTTGATAGGTTTAAGCATCGAAAGTAGAAGTTTGAAATTTTAAAGTTCATTAAGCTTGAATTGGAGTGCGATTCATGGTTTTAGCGTTGTTTGACGTGATTTGAGGCTTCGAGCAGGTCCGTGTTATGTTATGGGACTGAGTGGTGTGATTAGACAGGGTTCCGGGGGCCTCAGGTGTGTTTCGGACGTGTGGGAGGAGTTGGAAGAACAACATATTTTTTGGTGTTCTTGGCACCAGTTGCAGGTCTCGCAAATGCGAGAAAATGTTCACAAATGAGAACCTCGCATTTGCGATGAAAGCTTCACAATTGCGAAGAAGCATAGCCTGGGCTTGGATCGCATTTGCGATAAAGGCAGTCACATTTGCGAGCCTGTCAGGGTTCGCATTTGCGAGTTCTTGGTCGCCTTTGCGACCTAGGCAGTGGAAGCCCAGGGTTCGCATTTGCGATGATTGTGTCGCATTTGCGATGATTGTGTCGCATTTGCGACCTTCGCATTTGCGAACCAGGTGTCACAAATGCGACATCTAAAGCCTGTGCACAGCTATTAATTTCGAGACTTAGACCATTTAGCTCATTTCCTTCCATCTCTTGGGCGATTTTTGGAGCTTTTGGAAGAGGGTTTTCACCTAGCACTTTGAGGTAACTAATTTCTACACAACATGAGTTAAATACATAGATTATGGGTAGACTAACATGTGAAAATTAGGGAAAATCAAGGGTTTAGGTGAAAAACCTAGGGTTTTGATAAAAACAAGATCTAACCACGAAATTTGTTATGGAATGGAGTAGAAATCATATATTCTTGATCCTTATGAGTAACAACTTTCTTAAAAAATTTCCGGAATTCGGACACGTGGGCCCGGGGATAAATTTTAGGAACTTTGCATTTAGGGTTGGGAAATTAGTTTAATAATTAGAATATGAACTTTTGAGCATGTATTGACTAGTTCTTACCCCATTTGAATAGTTTTTGGATCGTTCGGCTCCAATTTGGAGGTTTGAGCGCGTTCTTGAATTGGGATATA